GACCGGTCCTGCAGACCCAAAGTTGCAGGATCTCTGTGACATGGGACAACAACATGGCATACAGGAGGGGTCCCAGTGAGGGCCTAATATTGAGAGTGTAGCAGAAACCAAAGGCCTCGAACCAGGCTATTGATTCTGCAATGAACTCTGCAAGTGAAGCTGTGTGGACTAAAGGGGTTTACTGTGTGGCTCACTGTGTCACACTGCAGTTTCCACGATGAGAGTTTTCTCTTTCTTTTTTCCTTTTCTTTTAAATTTTTTTTTGTTTTTATCCTGCCAGGGGAGGTTGCAAAGGCAGAGGGCAGATACAAAGGGATGGGGAGATGAGAAATGGGATAGAGATGCATGACATGAAATCCACAAAGAGTCAAAAGTTAAATTAGGAAAAACAGCAGTGTCCACCAGGGGACTCGGGACACTGCCCAGTGCTGTGTGAGCCAACATCATCTGGCACTGCCCCCAAGTCCCAGGCTTCCAGCTACAGCTGCTGAACAGCTTGTCCACATCTGGTAGCCTCAGAGGCAGCCTTAGTGGCTAGCAGCTGTTTCTGATACCAGCCACTAGGCTTGGCAACAACTAGCTTACTTACCACGAGAACCTGGTTCTGGAGCTCGGTGCCCTGGCTTCACAGCCAAAAAAATGCCCACTTGATTGAGAAGGAAGGGTTAGGGAAGACCTTGACAGGACTGCTTGACAGCTGAAGCTATGCTTGTCTGCAGAGGTCTAGGACCCATCAGGTAGTTCTGGTATGGCAATGTGGCCTGGGACCGCCTGCTGGTCCACCCACAGAGCCAATCTGCTCAAAGGCATCCCACCTCGGGGATGTCCAGGTCTGAGTGACCCTAGCTACACTGAGGCCCAGTTACTGAATGACCACCTAGGTATCTGGCTTCCAAATGCTGTCCTAAGGAAGGCGTGCACTGAGTTATCCATCCTGCTGGCAGCCATGGACAACTGAAGGAGTGGCTGAAAGTCCAGCAGTGACCAAGAAAAGAAAAGGAGGACAGAAGAGAGATGACAAAAAAAGCAGGGAGCTGACTGAAGCTGTAAGGAGCCCGAGAGGCGAGCCTGCGGGCTCCGGCCACAGGAGTCCCAGAGAGCTGTGAAGTCTTTGAGTTGTAACACCGGCTGCTGCCCAGGGCAGAGGAGACACAAGCTAAGCTTCTAGAGGCCGGCCTCAGAAGCGTTTTCCTCCTGTCTACCCGGGGTTTCTCTCCAGGCAGTGCAGAAAGTCGCTAGCTTGTGGATGACAACAGAATCTTCTGCGGCTCATTCGTCTGAGTAAGATCCTATTTACTTGTTTTCAATAATATTTCATATTTTAAGTTCTAGACTTTATGATTTATGTCTTAAGTCTAATAAGACTTAGCAGAGTTTGTGCTCCTTGCAGTATATACAGTATATACAGTATGTCATTTTTAAAAATTTTATGTCACACACTAGAATCACCTGTGAAGCAGGACCCTCGATTGAAGAACCGCCTCCATCGGTTGGCCCTTGGGCTTGTCTGTGGGATGTTTTCTTGGTTAATGGTTGAGGCATGAGGGCTCAACACAGTGTGGGCAGTACCACCCCATGCAGAAGGTTCTGGGTTAAATAAGAAAGCAGCTGAGCAACCCAGTGAGTGGCACTCCTCCATGGGCCCTGCCTCAGTTCCTGCCTCCAGGTTCCTGCTTGAGTTCCTGCCCTGACTTCCTTCAATAATGGGTTGCGATGGGGAAAGTTAAGCCAGACTGTTTCCTCCCCAGGTTGGCTTTGGTCTGTAGTAATAAGAGCGGCAGGGCTGCATCCCCAGCACCCCAACTGCCTGCTAGCTTATGCCCCAAAATAATTACACGGACACTGTATTCTTTTAAACACTGCTTGGCCCATTATATCTAGCCTCTTCTTGGCTAACTCTCGCACCTGGACTAGCCCATTTCTAATAAAGTGTGTAGCACCGAGGTGCGCTTACCGGGAAGATTCTAGCCTACGTCCATCCTGGGCCGGAGCTTGATCGCATCTGCCTCAGAGAGCAGAGCTATGGCGTCTGCCCGGGAGAGGGGAGCATGGCGTCTCTGAGCTCACTTCCTCTTCCTCCCAGCATTCTGTTCTGTTTACTCCTCCCACCTATGTTTTAACCTATGAGGGCCAGCCAAGCAGTTTCTTTATTTTTTTAACCAATGACCTTCCTCCATCATTTCCCCTTTTTCTGTTTAAACAAAAAAAAGGAAGGCTTTAACTTTAACATAGCAAAATTACATATAACAAAACAGTTATCAAGTAAAAATTCCAATATTTACATTTATTTTATCTTTATCATAACTAAGGAAAACTATAACTATAACTAACTATTCTTCAACTCCATCAAAGACTCCAGAAAGATACAATATTACCTAAGCAAACAAGAAATAAGCAACTTTCAAACTCTAGAAATGACAGAGACATCTCGCTGCCTGTACAGTCACCCAAAGTTCCTCTGTACCGTTGGGGCATCCATCTTCAGCCTACAGGCCCATAGTATCCAGCAGACATTTCCATGAAGCAGGAAATTTCAAAGGCAGTTCAGTTACTATCTGCTATGTCCGGCAAAATGTCTTGCAGACTCTGTCATGAATCAGGAACCCCGAAAGATCATCTCACCTTTAGGCAAGTTCAGCAGTCCTCTCTCTGCGGGTTCTTTGTGTCCAGTTTATGCAATAGTCCAGGTAAGAGCAGTTTCTTGCCCAAATGGCTATCAAACTCCATAAGGAGCCTCTTCGATGCCCATCTTCCTCTTGAAGTAGCTGGTGCTGCCAGGAGCAGACGTGTCTCATAGCAAGAGAAAGCAAACTAAGACAGGGGACAGCATCTCACTATGTGGCCCAGGCTGGCCTAGAACTCCTGGGCTCCTGAGATCTCCTGCCTCAGCCTCCCATGTAGCTGAGACCGTATGCACACCGCACACACCTGGTTAGTATAGCTTTTAAAAATTATGCTTTTCTTGGGCTGGAGAGATGGCTCAGCGGTCAAGAGCACTGCCTGCTCTTCCAAAGGTCCTGAATTCAATTTCCAGCAACCATATGGTGGCTCATAACCACCTGTAATGAGGTCTGGTGCCCTCTTCTGGCCTGCAGGCATACAAGCAGACAGAATACTGTATAAATAATAAATAAATAAATAATTTTTAAAAAAATATGCTTTTCTCATCAGCAAATTAATGCACAGTTTGTAGAAATCTTTAAATTTTGAAAAAAGTAAAATCAGAAAAATTTAGAGTCCCAGTCACCAATGAAGTAGTACATGCTGGTGTGTTTCCCTCTCGTGAAGTTAGGAAAATACAGGGACAGCAAATCTGTCCTTTTTGATTACCATTAAAAACAATAAGTGTCTTGGGGCTGGAGCCATGGCTTAGGGGTTAAGAGCACTTGTTGCTCTTGCGAAGGGCCCAGGCTTGGTTCCCAGCAGCCACACAGTGGCTCACAGTCATCTGTAACACCAGTTCTAGAGGATCTGATGCCCTCTTCTGATTTTCACTGGCACTAGGCATCACGTGATACACATACACGCTCAAGCAAACACTGACACATATAAAATAAGTAAGTTGGGCTGGAGAGATGGCACAGAGGTTAAGAGCACTGACTGCTCTTCCAGAGGTCCTGAGTTCAATTCCCAGCAATCACATGGTGGCTCACAGCCATCTGTAATGAGATCTGGTGCCCTCTTCTGGCATTCAAGCATATATGGAAGGAATGTTGTATACATAATAAATAAATCTTAAAAAAAAACACAAGAAGGCAAACATACACACAAAAAATAAAAATAAAAAAAATAAAGTAAGTAACTTTAAAGGAAACTTCAATTAAGTGTCTTCTACAACAATCTGGGTGTTACTGTTTTAGATTATCCCTTCATCTCTAAGAGGCAGTATTTCTGTTTATTAAGCTAGTCCCCATTATTGTTCATTTGTATAGAGTCGCTTTAGCAGCCATAAGAATTGCCACAGTACCTCTTCCTGTGCTGGCTGGAGTCGAGTCCTCACACTTGCCTGGCTTGCTCTGTCTCTGACCTCCAGCCCAGCTATCCTTACCTCTTAATGGCTGAGGTAACCTTTCCGTGGCTGCTCCACCCCAACAGTGACTAAAAGGTGACCTGTGGCTTTTCCTCCTCCTCCAGCACCACGTGATGGCTTACCTCTGCAGCTGCCCTGTTCTCAGAGATTTTGAGGGTCAAACGATTCCTGGTCAATAAACAGCTTTGTAGCTTCTGCCTCCAGCCTGAAACATTCCCTCCTGGAGGGATGGGAGTGAAGGCCCATAAAACTCCAAGACAATTCCAATAACTCGCAGGAAATCTATAAGGCTGGTGAGGCCCCTCTCTGAGCTCAGAGCAAGCAGTAAGCAACTTGGGGGGAGAGGAGCCTCTCTGAGGGAGCTACCTTAGCTCTCTAGGAGCCTCCTGGGCACAGCTTTCCCGAGCACTGGCCCCTGCTCTAGAAAGGAACCTTCACTCTTTCACCCGCAATAATCACAATAAACTCGTAGGGTTGCCAAGCTAGACTGGATTCCTACACTTGTTTATTTTTCTTCAGTCTGTCCCCTGTCCCCTCTCTGGGGCAAGCGGACACTTATTTCCATCTTCCCAGGAAAAGTCACCGAGCCCCAACAGAAAACGGAAAAATCCTCCTCTTCCCCAAATGGTTCTGATGAAAACCAGAGACAAAGTCAGTGGAGAAGAGCCCCGTCTGAGGCTGAGGGGTTGCAGCAGAGGAGGAACAGATTTGTGCTCTATCAAGGTCACTGTCTTTGCGATGCCAAACTGGAAATGTCACCACTGTCTGGATAGCTGCACACATTTTATTAAGAATATAATTTTCTCTTTGTTTCACGTTCTGCACTAGCAAGTGGACTGGTATAAGAATGTGAAGCCTCTTTGTTTTGGGGGAAAAGAGGGCAGGAACAAAACAACAGAGGAAGGAGGGAGGGAGCAGACCCGGGCAGTTTCCTTGACAGAAGAGCGCTCTAATGTGTTAGCACCTTTAATGATGGCTTACTTAACTTACAGGCGGTCGCGAACCTAGCATGCTGCCTGGTTCTGCCCTTGCTCCTCCACCTAGATGAACCCAGACACAGCCCAGGAGAGCCAGTATAGGGCGGGGGCGTGCGAGGCGGGAGCGGGGACATTTGGGGCAGTGGGAGGGGCTGCTTGGCTGTAGCTAAGGCCCTTCTGCTTTGCTCCTAAAGGGTTTTAACGCAAGAGCGGCTTCTTTTCCACAGTTATGTAGACAAACAACACAATGATGAAAATGCCAAAGATGGCCAGCTTCAAGCTCCATGGGAAGCTGTTCTCAGGGTTCTGGCATGGAAAGCTGCTCTCCAGGCTCGGGTTCCCCTGGCAGCAGTCCTCTTCGGTGACACAGCCATCCTCCACCCTTGGGTTTGGTCTCGCGACATGCCTGTGGAAACATTGCAGGGGCTCCTAGGACTGTAATCAGCTGCTTCCTGATCTCCTCTTAGGGTAAATGTGTGCGATCCGGTGACCCACAGGAGCATCCCTAGACACACTGAAAACCTGCGCTAATGTCCCTATCCCATGTCAGCCCACTGGGGGGCTCTCAGTAGTGGAGAGCATTTCCTTCCACTTTTACTGGAATAACCAGTCTGGCTCCAGGAACGTAGGGTCTCTGGGTCCCTTGATGAGAAGCTGCAGACATGATGGGGAGTCATAACAGGTCCTGTCCTGTCTCACACAAACCCAGCACCCCCGTCCTGGGTGGACATGGAAGTGCTTTTCCATCTTCCTTTAAATTCACATTTAAATTAACAGGAGGGTTCAGAGCTGGGTACCTGCTGTGCTACCTGTGTGCCTTTTGACCTTAAGTTCCCGCTACTCTAATCCTGCAAGGCCAGTTAAAGTTTCCTCAGAAGTTAGAGACTGTTAGCCAGGGAAGGCAGATGGGTCAGAAGTTCAAAGTCATCCTTAGCTAAAAGGCAAATTCAGTGCAACCTGTTATACATGTGACCATGTCCTAAACACCCCCCCCCCCGAAAATAGTTATGGAATTTTCTAGAACATTAGGGGGACTGTTGTGTGGCTGAGTCATTGGTATTTAGAGATTGAACTCGGGGTGCCATGCTCTCTCACTGAACCCCACACCTTAGACCCCACTTGAGGGTAATTAACATTTTTTGTCTTTGGTTTTGTTTTTGGAGACAGGGTTTCTCTGTAGCTTTGGAGCCCATCCTGGAATGAGCTCAGTAGACCTCGAGGCTGGCCTCGAACTCACAAAGATCTGTCTGTCTCTGCCTCCTGAGTACCACCACCCACCGGCTTATAGTATACCTTTTGTCAGAGTCATGTCCCTTTTAAAATACTAGCTCTTATCCAGCTTCCAAAACACAAAGAGCGGAGCTGGAGAGATGGCTCAGAGGTTAAGAGCACTAGCTGTTCTTTCAGAAGTCCTGAGTTCAATTCCCAGCAACCACATGATGGCTCACAACCATCTGTAATGAGATTTGGTGTCCTCTTCTGGCCTGCAGACATAACACTGTATACATAATAAATAAATAAATCTTTAAAAAAAGAAACACAAAGCCAGGCGGTGGTGGCGCACGCCTTTAATCCCAGCACTTGGGAGGCAGAAGCAGGCGGATCTCTGTGAGTTCGAGACCAGCCTGGTCTACAAGAGCTAGTTCCAGGACAGGCTCCAAAACCACAGAGAAACCCTGCCTCGAAAAAAAAAAAAACACACAAAGAGCAACAAATCTCCCCCGATGACTCCAAATGAGGACTTGGGTTCTGGCCTGGGTTCCTTGAGGCTTTTGACATCCTGTCGACACCCCCCTCCCCAACACCTGTTTTCCTAGCTCCAAATATGGATGAGGAGATACAGACTTTGGCTTTGAAATTATGTAGTATCAAATCCATCTTCTCAGCAGGTCCTCTTCAGGTTCAGACCCTTCACAGACATCTGAAGGATGGATCCCACCCCCAATAACGTCTAGGCCTTTTTATGCTACCAAAGGTTTACCTGCCACTGGAAATGCAGTTTAGGGTAGAATTCTTGGCTGGCATGCCCAAGGCCCAAGGCCACGGGAATATCAAGCCTTACCTGACCACCTTTGTGGGCTTCTGGCTCAGGTAGTAGATGTCTAGGATTCTTCTATTACTAGAAGCATCTCGTCTCTGATATAAAAAGAAAATGCCCACAACAGATTATTTGCAATGCCTTGTAACTTGACTTTTATCCTGGGGGAAAGAATTAGTCTGAAAACTGGCCTAAGTTTTAGGCACACCGGGGAGTTTAGTACTTAAGTCTGTTTTTCCTCTCTGGCCAGCCAAAGCACCCAGTGCCATGAAGAGATATTTGACTTTAGTGACTCACAGGAGGACTGTCAACACCTGGGTGGCTAGAGATATGTGTTGAAAACGAGTTCTGTTACTAAAGCATTAACTCACTTTCTGTCTTTTTTTTTTAAACTAATTTGTAGTGGCTTGGAAATTGTTTTATTTTTCTTTCTTCCACTTTAAAAAAAAAAAAACAAGCAGAGGGGCTGGAGAGATGGCTCAGAGGTTAAGAGCACTGGCTGCTCTTTCAGAGGTCCTGCGTTCAATTCACAGCAACCACCTGGTGGCTCACAACCATCTGTACTGAGATCTGGCACCCTCCTCTGGCGTGTGGGCATACATCGAGGCAAAATGTTGTATACATAATAAATAAATAAATCTTTTAAAAAAAACACTAAAACAAACAGCTGGGTGGTGGTGGTGCATGCCTTTAATCCCAACACTCGGGAGGCAGAGGCAGGCAAATCTCTGTGAGTTTGAGGCCAGCCTGGTCTACAAAGTGAGTTTCAGGACAAGATCCAAAGTTACAGAAAAATTCTGTCTCAAAAAAACAAAAACAAAACCACAAAAGCATGTGTCATTTCCATGTAAATCATATAGTTATTGAAATAAATGTCTATGAACAAGTACTAGAAAACAATGTAATACATAAACCCTTTCTCTTTAAAGAAACGTGTTTTATTCTTTTCAAAGACTTATTATTTCTCTTTGAATGTGTGTGCCGATGTGTCTGTATGTCTGGCATGTGTGTACAGGTGCCCAGGGAAGTCTGAAGAGGGTGGTAGATCCTCTGGAGCTGGAGTTATAGGTGGTTGTGAGCTGCCAGACATAGGGTTCTAGGTATTGAACTCAGGTCCTCTGCAAGAGCAGGGTACACTTTTAAATGTTAAGCCATCTTTCTGGCCCCTGTCTTTTCTTATTTTATTTAAAAAAAAATAAAAACAAAAAAATTGGGGGGTCTGGAGAGATGGCTCAGCAGTTAGGAGCGTGTACTGCTCCTTGAGAGGGTTAGGATTCTAGCACCTACGTGAGGTATAGGTAAACTCACACAAGCATGCACACGTGCACACACACACACAAATAAAAGTAAGTAAAAAGTAAATCTTTTTAAAAGTTAAAAATACATCTTTTATAGCATTATATTTGGGGTGTTTGTGCAGCGTAAATTCCTGTATTTCTATGTTTGGACACATGTGTAGAGATGCACACGGAAACACGTGCCAGAGGTTGATGCTACAGGGGGCTGTCTTCAGCTGCCTTCCTCAGTAGCCCTCCACCTTGTATACTGAGACGCAGTCTCTCACTTGAACCCACAGCTCACTGATTCAGCTAGTCAGCTAGCCGGCTTTACTCCAGGGATCATGGGTCTCTGCTTCTCAAGAGCTGAGGTTTCAGGTCCATGCCACCACACCCTCCAGTGTTTACTATTTACGTGGGTCCTGGAGATCCGATGTTTGGGCCTCACTCTTGTGTTGCAAGTGCATTACCCTCTAAGTCATCTTTCCAGCCCACATTATTCAGTAAAATGAAAAGCTATAGCCTTTCGTTTCCTGTTTGTGAGACAGAGCTGTCAGGAATGAGGTGTTAACATGCGCAGATGACAGAAACGCCTCCTGGCATGGGGTAAACATGCAATAAGGATTAATAGTAACCCCTGAGGTAGGTATTATTAGTTCTGAAACAGAAACACACAGAGGTCCTCGGGAGCAACAGGGACGGTCTCATCTCAGGAGTGCGTAAAGCAAGGACTGAAGTTTCTGAATGTTCATTAAAGCCTCCACTGAGGCAGGATCCAGGTCCTTCTAGAAAATTCGAAGAGTGAAAATCAGTGCCACAAAGGGTGAATTTCTAAAATCTTTTATTACAGAGAAAGCTTAGAGACTAACATGATCCCTTCCTACATCCTAAATCTTATCCTTATACCTGTAGGTAAGCATAGCTACCTCCCTTCATCAAAGCTTCTCTCTCAGCAAATGGAGACATCACAGAAAGCCACAGCCGGACACAACACAGAGATCAACAGACAGTGGGTAGCCCAGACTCGTCAGATACATCTATACCACAGTTCCTGCATCGGCAACTCAGAAGGACCATCTCAGAAGAGGGGATGGGGAGCTGGTGAGAGCTAGAACACCAGGAAGTCTACTGTGAAACGCTCTCTCATAGAAATGGCTGCATAGACAAAATCTGAGCATAGCAGCATCAACAGACACACTAACACTAAAAGGGAAAATCCTGCGGGGCACACCCCTGGACAAGGAGCTACAGACAACAGCTGACTACTGAGAAAGGAAAACTTAGCCTAGCTCCTGGGTGAGTACCCCAGTTGGTTATCCAATACAAATCGAGCCCCCCAAACCATATATACACAAACAACAAAAATGGACTTAGCAGGTTGTATTTATCTATTTTTGCATACATATATGTATATTTGTAACAATAATAATTAGGGAAAAGAGGCTATTGATTTGGAAATGGTGGGGAGACATGGAAGGGTTGGAGGAAGGACTTGGGGGGACTGGAAGAAGGGAAGGGAAGGAGAAAAGTGACAATTATATTTTAATTAAAAAGTAAAAATTAAAAAAAAAGAATTTACTGCAGAAAGAGGAGCTCAAGAAAGGGTGCCAGGAAAGTCAGATTAGCATCCTATGGGAGGGGCCCCCCAACAGAGCTGCCACTGAGCTGGGTAGGGACTTTCCCTCATGCACAGCTCCCTCACCCAACCAGCAAGGGCTCACACAAGCAGCTCACACACTGCTCACCGTAGGAGAGTGGCCACACTCGGACATCCCTGCTCAGTAGGCATTGACCTTGGCTGGCCTGCTAACTGCTAGGCTTGCCCAGCATTGCTGGTCTCTGCCCCTGCAGGTGTTGCTGGTCCCTGCCTCTGCCAGGGTCTGTCAGCCGTCAGCTAACCGAGATGCAGCTGCAGCTCTTCCTGGCAAGCTCGTATTTGGCTCCCTGTCTAGGAGTCTGGGGCAGCCTCCTTCACAAGCTGGTTTCACCTACGATTAAGACTCTGTGAGAAGGCAGCAGATCCCTGCATGTGTGTCTTGTGGGACATCGTGCGTGCTGGTGGCCTATAGACACGTTCTGGCCTTCCTCCTGCTGGTCACCTAAGTTACCTCACACTCAGCTGCAGGCCCTTTTATTTGTCATCCCTAGTGCCCCCAAACTGGCTCTCTAAACCGTAACACCTGTTTTCACTGTGACCATTTCATGCTACTGGTTTTCTTCCTTCCCCCCCGCCCCATTGTGGTGCTGGGGATCAAACTCCAATTTTTCCTCAATTGTCCATTCATATCATTCAACCCTCAAAGGAAGTCCAGGTCTGTTGTTAACCACCATCTGCCAAGCTCTAGGCCCACGCACCTCTGACCCACAGAGATCTAGTAGGCTGACCACGCCCCCTCCTCCTGGTAAGGCTTTTGGTTGGTTTTGGAGATTGAGACACAGAGAGGTTAAGAACCTTGGCTGGAGTCACACAGTCTTATCAATGGGGAATCCTGCGCTCACATGCTGAAGCAGCCTCCTCCGGGCCTCTCACTTCCTACAGCTAATTCCTGTCGGAATCGCCATCACTCTCATGCGTGCATGCCACTCCTTTGCTCAGTCACAGGCCCTAGCTTACCTAGGTTATAGTGTATTTAACCAGAACTCTTATTTATCTACTCAGAAAACACCTGCTGTGTTTTGAAAAAGATTTCTTCATTTTCTTATTCATTTAAGGTGTGTACATACACTCCTGAGTGTGTGGATACACACCATGTTTGTGCCTTGCCCAAGGAGGCCAGAAGGTGATGTTGGAGCCTCTGGAACTAGAGACAATTGTCAGCCACCATGTGGTTTCTTGGAATTGAACCCAGGTCCCCTGGAAGGGAAGCAAGTGCTCTTAACCACTGAGCTATCTCTCCTACCTGATTCATTGTGTTTTGCTGACAGGTCAGGAGGTCATGGACACTATGCAAGCCACAGACAGCTAAGCATGGAAAGACTGTGTAAGTACTCCATTCATTGGATCTTGGTCAGCCGACTCTCATAGTGCTGTGTCCTGCGTCTCCTGTCCCTCTGAAATGCTGGGACTTGAACAAGAATAGGCCTTCCTATTGTGCTGACTGGTGCACAGGGCAAACCACCAATCACTGACTGAAGAGGGAGACTGGCTGCCTCAACAGAACAATAAACCAGGGCCAACCAAGGGGACGCCTGACCATAAGACCAGAGAGGCTGGAACTGGGTGTGTGGCACATGGGACAACAAAGGGAGCCACGGCATCTTGAAGTTTCCAGAGCAAAACTCTGGTCTCTGAGTGCTGTCATGATGCTCACTGGAACACCTAACCTCGTGACAGGATGGTCCAAACCCATCGGCAGATCCAAGGGCTTCAATAGAGCAAGAAGGTACGACCACTCCCCTACTTCTGACCACAGTCATGGGAAGGCTACTGTCTATCTGTCCGTCCTTGCCTTCTCTGTCCTTCCTAGAGGGGATCTCTCACCAGGGGCTCAGATGCCCAAACAGGGCCTCTTGGTTCCAGCCACCTCCTAGACACAGGTTCTTAGACACAGTTCTCCTCCAAGGTCACCACAGCCATGGATATTCAGCAAGAGGTATTTTGTGCTCTTCCCAAGGGTACTGGAAGATCTTTTTGTTGAGCAAATTCCATTTTTAAAAGCCTTCGACTTAGAGAAAAATTTAAACATACACAAAAGTAGACAATAGTGAAGCGAGCCTCCGCACGTCTGCCACACACCACTTTCTTCTTGAAGATAGAAATAGGAATGTTAAATAATGCACTTAAGATAGAAATCTATTGCAAAATAAAATTACAGGATTTC